CACTCTCCCTTTTCTGTTGTAACTTGGCAAATATGCAATCGGCGGTTATACGCATCCACTCTGTGACATCTAGCTTTTGCGGTGTTCTTCACCAGAATGGCAGTGACCTTGGGGGGGTATGCAAGTCCCTGTTCAGACCTAGCCTCAGAAGACTCTCTTCTTAAAGTGAAATACCTGTTAACTCTATGGAAAGTTAACTCGATAAGGGACATGATCGGTAGAAATCGAGCTCCTTCCCTTCAACACATTGTTAAATGTTTCAGAGAAGTTTGTAGTACATATCCCATATCTGCGATCAGCGTCGTGAAAGAGAGACCACATAGGAAACGGGACTTGAACAATATACTCCATGGCCTTGGTACATGCCTCACCGATGAAACACAGATCATCTTGAAGTTTTCTTTCTTGCCTTTGGTACGCAGCAACCTTGAACATATCTCTTATGTCGTTACTTCGCACGTGAGTCTTCAGGTTAGAAGCTATGTGGCGAACACAAAACCTGTGATAGGCTCGCGGCTCGGTGAATCCAACGTTAGGATCATTCATTGCTGCAATAATCCCAGGATGTCGATCAGATATAACACAGAGGCCATATCGTTGCGTGACATGAACCCGAATGCAACCCAGAAACCAAGATCAACTGGAAATGTTTTCCCCTTCAACCAACACAAATACTAGCGGAAATACTTGGAAGCTTGCATCCACACTTGTAGCAACCAACATTGTTCCTTTATACTTCCCGTACAAATGCGTCCCATCGATACAGATAACAGGCATACAATATTTAAAACCGTCGATACAAGGACCGAAGGCCCAAACACTCGTTCAAACACTTCCATGTTGCTAGAGTAAATACCATCCACCAGAGCTTTGTGTTTCCATACAACAACGGTTACCGGGTTTGACTGTTGGAGTGCTTGCATGAAGTGCGGAAGTCTGCCGTAAGAACTCTCCCAATCCCCAAATATTTCAGCTATAGTTTTCTCCTTGGCATACCATGCTCTTCGATATGGAACTTCGAAATGAAATTGCTTGGAGATGAGTTCCTGTATGAATTCAACTTTCAAGGACGAATCTTTCTGCACAAAGGACTTCATATACTCTGATATTATGGACGAATCCAAGTATGGGTGATCAGTAGATATTACTTCAGTGACACAGTTCTCCCGGTACGGGCCTTTGTACGTGATTAGGGTAAAGCCACGCGAGTGCTCACTTGATTTGGTACCCCGTAGCGACCAACCACATTTCTTCTTGCACTACAGATGAAGGACACTCTCATTCGAGGTCACTGTGGTGTAGAATTGGTACCTCTGTAAAGAATACATCTTCACCATTTCTTGAAGCATTTTCTTACTTTCAAAATACATGCCCTTCTCAAATTCTCCCCCGGGAACAAACGATGTATGGCAACCCGATTCGGCCCAATACTAATCAACTTCATAATTCTCGTTTATCTGACTAAACCAAGGTACGGGAGTTCAAACCATGGGCTCGCCAACTTCCACTTGTGCAGGTTCAAAATCGATGTTCTGAAGTCCATCTTCCTCCTCTCCGCTCTCGGCCTCATCATTTGTTTCCGCATACACATCATACACAGACAATTCCTTATTCACAATAGTGTCAAGATGATTTGGCACAGGTTGAGACGGTGATGCTTGAACATCATCTTGCATAGGCAAAAAACTTCGCAATTGTATCGTTGAAGGTGTGACACTGTTAGATGTCGAAGGACAGGTTGGCCGAACATTGTCAGATATGCCCCCCCATGTACAGGTGAAGCTATATGAAAACTAAATGGCATGTTAAATTGATCGTCGTGCAGCATTCTACTGAAAGATCCCATCTCATATTCATTTGATGGAATGTCGTGTGAGGGCACTTGGAAGGACTATGTGTTGTAACCGGAAATATATGTAGATTGTTGTTCTGGCCGAGTACTTTGTTAGGTACATATAGGCGCCATTTCTACATATATCTCAATGGGAACACCCTTCATTGCAACAACGCTCCTCAAAGCTGCAAATGTTTATTCGTACAAACAGGTAACACTTGAACCCCATTGCCAGTCTCAAACCTCATTTTAATGTTTAGTTCAACATTCCTTGGGTTTGAACCAATACTACTATGAACCTCGTTCATCAAATTATTGAAAGTCATGTTCGGTTCAAGTGTTAGTGGTTCCATATTTCCTCCACTATAATCGACACGGGGTCCATCGAACAGAATTTCACCTCCTCGCCGGCATAACAACACAACATTTTGTGCAACCATATTCTACATAACAACCAAAACACATTACACTTAAAGGCACTAAATCATCCCTAAATCGCCATAATTAAACAACAATGTACATACTTTTCAAATTAACACAACTTAGAAGCACTAAATCAACATTAATAAATAACAATGTAGGTTATCGCAATCACTCAAAAACTAACCATTATCAACAATTATCTACATTAACAATTCAACATTTCCAACAATTTTCTACACTAACAATTCAACATTACCAACAATTATCAACACTAACAATTCAACATTATCAAGATTTTAACCACAATTCCAAAAACAAAAAAATCAATAAAAAAACCCTAGATTTTAAAAACCAAAGAGAGAGAGGGCAAGTACCAAAATCGGGGTGATGTGAGGCTACTTCGTCGAGGCTGTCGGCGGCCGATCGTTGGCAGGCGGTGGTTGGAGGGAGACGGCGGTGGGGGTGGCGGCCTGAAGGACACGTTCTTGCTTTGTGTTAGAGAGAGATTGAGTGAAGGAATGCAATTGAGGGAAATTGGCAGAGAGCAGAAGCTGGCATAGTATACCCGCATGAAACGATGTTTGGGACAGCGTTTTATGTACAAAAAAAAATTGTACATAAAACGCTATCTCGGACAGCGCCTTATGTGTATTTGAATTTGAATTATTTTTTTTATTTCTTAAAACCAGAAATTAAGAAAATCGCAAAAAAAAAAAAAAAAAAAAAAAAAAAAAAAAAAGTGAATAAGTAAAAACGCTGTCTGAGAAAGCGTTTTATACTTTAAATTTTTTTTTAAGAAAAATCAGGGTATAAAACGCTGTCCAAAATAGCGTTTTGCCCCAAAAACTTAGTTTGGTAAATAATTTTGTCACGCATCCACTTTGCACAATATTTTGCCAACAAAGCTTAGTTTGGAAAAAAATTCCCTCAAAAAAGTCATTTTTTAGTTGAGTTAGTTGTATCAATTTTAACATATAGTTGACCACTTGGCTAGTTGGCTCTTGTACGTCATTCATGCTTATTAGATTACGTCTCTTGTGGACTCTTTTTGTCTTTCATGACCAATTTATCTTGTTCCACTAGACCATTAGTGTGTTTATGGCACATATCGGTTATTCCCCCCCCCCCCCTAGTATATGTGGACTGTATTTATATTTCCGTATAACGTATTACTACATATTATACTCCTATTAAGAGGGAATTTAATTTGTTATGCAAGGTTTTATTAGACAACTCATTTTAATTTGTCTTTTCAAAATACGAAATGTCAGTAATGTACGATTAAATTTATTAATGGTCATAATTCCTCTTGCATTTTATTTGTCAATTTGTTTTTAGAATATTACATGATGAAATATTATTAAATAATATTGGTCAATTTAATATTATTAGATAATTAATTGACAAATAAAACATCATACAATTAAATCCTAAATGTAATTAATTAAATATTATGTATAATATTTTATTCAATAATATACGATTAAATTTTATTTGTCAATCTGTTTTTATAAAAAATAAATTCTGTCAATATAGGGACCAATATTATTATTTTTAGAACAAATAATATGTGTCAATTTGTTTTTAGAACCTCACTTTATAAAATAATATGTGTCCAATAATATTATTTTTGTTGGATTTCAAATTATACCTAACTAATTAATTAGAGGTAACATTACTAAAAGATAAGTAGTGAAAACTTGAAAGTCAAATAGAACTAAGGCCCTGTTTATTTCACCTTAAAAAAAAACAATATTAAGTAAAAATAATTTCAGATCAGTAAAAATAAGTTATGTTCAGTAAAAATAATTTCAATTCAGTAAACATAAGTTCAGTTCAGTAAAATTCAGTATCTTTAAAGAAGAACTATAATAGAAAATCAGTAAAAATAATTTTAGTTCAACAAAAATAATTTTAATTCAGTAAAATTAATTTAAGTTCAGTAAAAATAATTTCAGTTCAGCAAAAATAATTTCAATTCGGTAAAAATAATTTCAGTTCAGTAAAAATAAAATGAAGTGAACATGGCCTAATATTAGAGAACGAAAGGAGTACGTATTAAGAATTTAAGATTAATGATTCAAACTAGTGAATTGAAGGGAGAATGTATTAAGATTAATGCATCAAACAAGAGGATCAAACCAAATGGTAATGTGGCTCACGTGTAGGATCCATCATTTATTATTTTATTTATGTGTAGTCTTAGATCCATAATTGTTTCCGCTTACAATTCGAGTATGGGTCATAACTGGTGATTAGATTCATCTATACTATATATTAAAAGACATTTTTTCTAAAGAAACGATGTCACATGACATTGTTCAATATATATGACACCATGTCACAATGCCACGTCGCTATTCAAAGTATATGCGACACGTAAACTTGCAATTTCATTTAACAAAATAAATAAATTATAGTTTGATCTAGATACGAATCCGCAACCTCTAACAAATAAAGGTTATACTCTTATCATCTCAACCAACATTTATTAGTGTTTTAAATTTCACATAATTAACATTATATATTTCTTTCAAATTAGAGGTTATTTAATTTATTTATTCTTCACAAGATTAGAAAATAAATACATATGAGGTATAAAAAAAAAAAAAAAAAACGGTAATATCCGAGGTAACGCCCGGATCACACACTAGCTATACAAACAGTTGAACATAATTATCAAATTAAAGAAGTACAAACTAGTAATGCGGGGCATCGCCCGAGACACACACTAATTATTCATTTAAAAATGTAAAATCGCACAAATGCACAATAAGATATTAAATATTATCATTATAAACAAAATACGAGTATAAGAAATTAAGAATTCTTATTCGAAAAATGATAGTACAAATATTTGTGACAAACAACAAAGGTCTTTTGATGACCTAAATGATTAACTTGATTACAAAATCAAAAGGATGGAAATTCAATTTGAGAACCACATTTGCCATGAGGGAAAGTAGGACACTCAATAAGGTTAGATGCAGAATTGTCAACGCAAAGGTAAATCTGGTAGAGTTGACTATTGCCAGATGTATCATCATTGCACTCCACAAAAGGTGTAAATCCAACACTTTGTTTAATTGCATCCTTTATGCTTTCTAATGTGTACGAGTTTCCATTTGGCTCAATTCCTACATGGCATATAGAAAAAAGCATTATTAAGAGAAAAAAGAAAAAAAAAAATTATGTTACGTAGTATTTCTATTTTTAAGTTGTTCTGTTTTGAATTATAAGTTAGACAGATGATGACATAATTATATCTGAAGTTAAAAATGTAATGATTAATAAAAACAAAGGAAGTATTATTGTGCTTAAGTGTTGAAGATAAAGTCTCAAGATTTTCAATATGTTAATTACGAAAGAGATATTATCTTCTTGATGATAGCCTTTAAATTAGGTTGATTTTATACTATATCTGATTGATTGTGGGAATCTTCAATTGAGTAATTATTGTTTAATCAATCATAAACTATCTCATATGATTGCCAAAAAAAAAAAAAAAAAGCCAAAGAAAATAATCCTCATTAATTATCAGATCTTAATAATTGTAGGAATAATTATTCATGAGATTTTTTTTGGAGAAAAATTATTCGAGATTTTTCTTCAAAATTAAGTAAATGCATCAAATTTTATTATAATAGGACATGAACATTAAAAGGTTTATCAAAAGATTTTTTTTTTAATTAGTTAATACTAGTAGTATTAGGATTAGTTTTTCAATTTTTCTTAATAAGTTATGAAATTATGTAATGTGACCACTTGGTGTTAGTTGGTGTAAGTCAAAAAATATTCGCGTACAGCTTGTTTATAATACAAGTATAGTCGTATCATTAATAATTTGTCATCATTTATTACTCCCAAAAAAGTGAAATAAAGGCCTTAAATGTAAGAAAAAGCAACAAATATTGTAACATAGCTAAAGTTACTAGTAAAAAGTTACCTGCACTTGTAAGTGATTGGAGAAGATTAGCTTGATTTTTGAGGTCAAGAGCAGTTTGGAAGTAGTCATGTTGTCCAAGGGCTGAACAAGTCCCATGCTTTTCCCATTCATGTGACCAAAACTTCAATCCATCACCACTTGGACATGCCAATGTCGGCCATTCTGTTCTCATTCTCTTCAATAGACTTGATGTCTGTTTTTAAAACCATAGCTTCAATTAACTTATCGCCGTTTCATCAGTGATACTTACGACAAAATTAATCTTCACTTGTGTTTTTGTTATGCATCGTTTACTATTTAAAACTAAATTTATTCGTTAAAGAAATTATCATCATTCATAGGGAAGGCCGTGGTGTAACAAGTTGTAACCACCCACAAACCCACCCCGCTAACAAATTAAGGAATTTGTTATATTTAAAGTAACACGACTACTCGTGTAACTCATACACAACCTTCACTCGATTTACAAATCGAACACAATTCAATAAACCGTACGTACCTGAGATTGATCGAACTGGCTGCTAGGATCACAGCTAGAAGGGTAAGAACCATCATTATAATTAGGCCAAAGTCCATGAATTCCAAAATCTGCTTCTGGTTTTCCTGTACTTGGATAGCAGCAACTCTTCTCCGTATCACAGTATGATCCAGGCCACTACAAAACCATCATCAATACAAATTAATCCCTATATTTTTTGTTCATCAAAATCAACCAAAAATCAAATTAATAAATTAAAAAATCTAGCAAACCTGTTGAACAAAGTAAAAGAAATCAAAATCCTGAGAATATGCTGAGACTACAAACAGAAATTGAACTGCTAAAATGTAGTAAAAGGCTTTCATGTTTCTCTGTTTTGTTCTTGGGCAGGAGGATTATTATTGCAAATCGAGTTCCGTCAAAGTAATAACTTTATTTGTATGGTAGTGAATAATGTATAACTATCTTAAGTTTATATATATAGACAAAGTGACTGTGGTAGGAAGATAATTATAATTACAAATAAGGAAGAATATCCGTTGGTTGATAATCTGAATATGCTATCTATGCAAAAAAAAAAAAAAAAAAAACAAATGTTCATATTATTAGGTTTATGAAAGGTCAATATGTTCACATTATATTATGGGGGACCTTGCTTTGTATTAAAATCAATACATGTGTTGACGTGTTGTACATATACACTAATGCAATCTGTTGCATTTAATTTGTGTAATGTATGAAAATTGAAGCTCAAATGATTGTCAAATTTAAAATTTTTGATCTATAGACAAAGTCAGCAATAAACATACAAGACAGTGGTTTTTTTTTTTTTTTTTTTTTTTTTTGGATTTTTTTTTGGATTTTAGTCTGAACTACGTGATCGTTTTCTCACTTGTTTCGGATTATTGTGTTGCTTAACTACTTGTACTTCTACTATTAGCCGCTTTTGGTTGAAGTTTTTTCGGTTTTGTTTTTTTCGAAATTTAGGACATGTACCTTTTTCAAATCGGATCAATCAAATGATGACATGACTACTAATTATCTACAATTGGACTAATACATATCTAGATGTAGCTTAAAAATGTACTTGTAGTAGTTATGTTTTAGAAAAACTAGTCTATTCAATTGGAAAATGACAATTAGCTATATAAGTATTTGTATTCAAAATCAAATTGAAAAGTATAATGTACATATGGAAATAAATTAGAAAAGATTGAGAACAGATTTGGAAAAATTATGGTCTTTTGGAAGCAAAAGACAATTAGAATCCCGGAAATAAGATGAGCAATAAGAATATTATGGAAAAGTCACTCCTTTATTTCAATCCAAATTCCCTCTGTCTAACAAACCGGCAAAATTTTGGCTTTAATTATGATGTAAGTTGTTACCTAAAACTCCTAAGGCCCCTCTTTTTACCTTGAAATAATAATATTTAATTAAAATACATTTAGCTTAATAAATATAAGTTCAATTTAATAAAGATTAATTTTAAATCAATAAAAATCAGTAAATGTAAAAACAAATATAATAAAAAATTAATAAAAAAATAAGGTTTAATTAGTAAAAATAATTTTATTTTTGTAAAATTAACTTAATTAAGTTCAACCAAAATAATTCGAATTCATAAACAAAAGTGAAGAGAAAAGGGTCTCAGTACAAATAAGTAATAACAATTGAGCAAGTTTATCTAAACAATACGAAGTTTGATACGAAGTACTTCGGTTTTCTTTAACTTTTTTGAAATAAAGTATTTAGGGATCGTTTGGTTGGATAATTTGGAATGGATTGGAATGGTGGAGTTAGAATCCATTCCATCTAATTTTTTGTTTAGTTGAATTTTTCAATAATGGAATCTCATACTCAAGGGTTCTAAATCTCATACCTGTGGAATTCCATACCCACCTCTTCTCCTAAGATTCACAATTCATTCTATTAATGAAATATAAATACATTCTAATAATAAAACCAAACAATTTTAAACTAGTATGGGTTTTAGAATCCATACCTCTCTGGTATGAGATACCATACCAATCTATACCAATTTGATAAACCAAACACCCCCTTAGTTTTTGTTTGATTGCCCATAGAAAGTAACAATAATAATAACCATGTGATTCGAAATTCCTAAAGAACAAAAGTTGAAATCTTCACGTTATTAAACTTAAAATCGCAATGAAAATGTGGGTATCTAATTTTTAGTTGGAGATTAGGATACTTAGGCCCTTTAGTTTAGCCAGAAGAGCTTTAAGCCCTTTAAAAGAACTTTCTCTCTGGCCCAATTTGCCCATATGCATGAGTGGCCCATATGTCCAATAAAATTTGTTCCCTATATCTTTAACATTTGAATATGTTCATTTTAAATGAATTGGATCTTTCCCCCAAATAAAAAAAGTTGAAAAGCATTTCGTTTAACTCAACTGAGTTAAAAAATGCAAAGAAATGGATAATTAACTAACTTAATTGATTAAAGTATTAAATAAGTGGTACTCAAAACTTGAAATCATTTCAAAGAACTATTTTTAACCTCGAGTCTTAGGTACACTATCTCCAAGAACAATGGGTTTTAACTTATCTAACTTTCATACTCTCACCATTAAGATCAATAAATTCTCACATCAAATTTCCACTTCAATTTGAGGATAATTATGAATTTTCTAAGAAAATTTTTGTCAGTGGCATTGTAACACCCCCAAATCTCCCTCTATGGAAATACCAGTATAATACATATAATTATACTGTAGAGATAGACTTAGGCATGTTACCACCGTGTGATTACGCAAGACTACTCAAAATACTTAACTCAATAACAAAACTTGCAGCGGAAAACTCAACTTTATTCTATAAATGCTTATAAAAATAGTAACATTATTATGAGTACTCAAAATAAAGACAAAACCAACATTCCTAAACTAGGTGAAGCAAATCTCGGGACTCCCACATGCTCATCATGACTCCACCTGAAAAATAGTCAACACTTCTTACTAATAAGGTAAACAGGGCGAACCAAAACAAGTAGAAAATACGGATTAGCAAAATATGTTAAGTACGATAAGTGCAAGATAAGTAAACTCAATTTATTAGCAAACATACTTTTAAAACCAGTTTCAATAATTAATCCAATACTTCCAAAACTCATGATTCAAAACCAATTCCAATAATTCAATAAATCGATTTATAAAACCAATTCCTCTTTTGAAAACCAATTCCTCACCCAAATATGCACACCCCTCAAGTTAGTGTCTTTGTATTGAAAGGCTATCCTTGAGGAAAGACTCGGTCATATAAAGTCCAAACTCTTATCAACCAAATCCGCATAGTGGGATAATCATGCTTGTGAGGCTTAAACAAGAATTCAATAAATCCTCTTTTAATCAATTCAATCTTTATAATAAAAAACTCAAAACTCCTTTTATATTTAATTCAACAAGCTTTAAAATCAAACCTTTTTAAAAACTTTGTAAATCAATCCAACATACTTTTAAAAACCAAATTCCTTTAAACATAATAAATAATTTCTAATCATTCAAAACAAGATAGAAATCCATTCTCAAACATATTTATTAAAACATGAATTCTCAAGGTTAATTTATAAATCATAATTCAAAACAATTTAATTAAAATCACACAAACATGCTTATTTATTTAACAATTTCGAAGGTATCCAGCCACCTAAACGTACCTTAATTCCGAATCTCAATCAACACTTCGCACTTTCAAAGTTCAATCACAAATACACATTGCAATTAACATAACCATACGGTTATCACAACATCTTTAGACATAAACCCAAATCTAATGTGCATAGACTATTAAAAATCTTTTAAAAATAATATTTTAATATAAAATTATAGCTTTGAAATAAGTATTTATATTTTAAAAAACTAACTATGAAGAAAATAAAAGGAATAGGATTAAAGAGAATTGAATTTGCGTTGGAAAGAATAAGCAGAACTTGTAGAGGATATAACTTCTTCAATATAACTTCAAATTGGGTGATTCTTGATATTAACCTCAAGAATTTTTTGAGAGGAACAATTTTTTGTGAAATAGAAAAACCCTAAAACTAACCAGAAGCTTCCGAAAATTGGCTCTAAAGATATACAAACTGATTTTCTTTTAGAAAAGAGGAGAAGAAAAAAAGGAAAAGATTGAGGGAAAAGAAGAGTAAGAGAGAAGAAGTGAATTGAGTTTTTGGTGTGAAGAATATGAGAGGTAATAGGGGGTAAGTATAGGCTCATGAATGAAATAATTAAGATAAGATTTTGTAGGAAGAATTATGATAAATTTAGTTTAAGGAATTACTTGGAAAAGAGAGTTAAAGAATTTAGGAAAGTCTAGTTTATGGTGATTAAGAAATGAAGAAATAAGGTAAGTATGTAGTCATGAAATTTTAAATGGTAAACGGCTTTGCTTAGGGAATAATCAAGAATGATTTAAGGCAAATAAATTGTATGATAAAATCTTTGTGAGATGGAGATAGGAATTAAGGAAATGGAATTTAAGGAAGATAATTAAAATACTAAACTAACAAAATAATTAACCCAAAATTCACATAGGGTGACCGAAAATATTGAGCATATCCATGCTCATATTTTCGGACCTCCACTACTAGTTTTAGGAAAATATTTGCTAGATTTTAAGGATTAAAAATGATTGTGTAAATAATATATTTTGTAGAAAATAATTAATTAGAAAATATTAACTTAAAACTAACTTAATTAACTAATAAAAATCAAATTTTCTACACTTAGACAATCCGAAAATCTCATTAATTAATTTAGGAATTTCAACCCTTTAATTTATAAATAGGAAATATAATTTTTGTTAATTAAAATATCCGAAATATATATATATAATTCGGTTTTTATTAAAATAAATGGATAATAAATTTTATCCAAAATCCAAAATAATCATTGAGTTTTGAAAATGTTGTTGGAGCCAAAATTCAAATATCATTTTAGCTCCAAAATTCAAATAGTAAAATAAATTACTTAAATACCCTTTTTATAAAATACTAATTATTAATTAATTGAAAAATAAGTCTTAAAAATACGGAGTATTACAGACATCTTATCAATACACTCCCTTCGTGTTTAAATAAATGAAACACTTCTCTTTTCCGACCGTGTTTAAATAAATAAAATGTTTTCTTTTTTAGTAATTTCTCTCTATTTTTTTTATAATATTCTCTCAATTTTTTTAGGTAAATCCAATAGTTTCTCTCGATGAGAAACTTGGGAAGTTTATCACAAGGTATATCCGTCATTTTACAGTTAAAATAGGGGTGCATTTAGAAATTCATCAATTTACTCTTAAATTATGTAAACATTTGGGAATGCATTCTGGTAAACGGCAACGGCAATGACATCATACAGCTCTTGCTTGACTAGATTGAAAGCTCATCTTCAATGGTGAATCAATGGAGAAGGGAAATATCAATTACCCTTTGGGGTTAATCCTACCCTAAATTTCTCTATTTTTCGTAGGGTTTTAGTTTGATTTGGCAGCAGAGCCGCCATTAATATCGGTGTTGGTGTTAGTGTAAAAAGGAGGAAGATGAAGATGAAGATGGTGGGGTATAGTTCGCAGGAGGAAGAATGAGATGGTGGTCACTTTCAATGGTGATTAGCAGGAGGAAGAAGAAGATGGGTTGTTCCGTTTGAACTCCATCAACCGTACAAGCTTGTAAATGTTCTTATGTGGCATAATAGTTTTGCATATATTAACATAAATGCCAATGAGATTAACAAAGAAATTTATCACCAACAGCAACCTGGGCTCTCTCCTATTTTTTATATTACTAATAGTCTACTAATTTATGGTTCTCACAAAACCTCTTACTTTCTTTTCTGTTCTTTCTCCTCAATCTTATTATACTCCACTTTCTATTATTTTAATAAATTCAACTAACTTCCTAAAACTCCGTGAAAGTCAAAACATTTCATTTGTTTAAACACGGAGGGAGTATTCAACATTAAATCTTGAAAAGTTTACCCGATCACCTAGTTCTTTTTTTTTTTTTAATACTCCGTATATTAAGATGATTCTAACAACTACTTATATGACTATGTTTGATTTTATGTATGCATAGAGTATAAATTGGTCAAAGTGGTACGTAAATAGTGCAATTAAAAATCAAAGTGGAACACTTAAAAATTAAAACACGGAGGGAATAAACTTTTGTTCGATGAGTTGCAATGCATATTTTCGTAATAAGGAATATCAACATTTTACAAGTTAAACTAATAAAACATTATTAAAGATTTGTTAACCAAAGTTGTGTTGGCACATATTCCACTCAAAGTATTCCTTCCATCCCTCTTTGTTACAGTCAAAGTATTCCTTCCATCCCTCTTTATTAGTGTTCAAAGAGGTGAAATTAGTTTTAAAATTTTTGAATGATTTTATAGCGGTCATTTGAAAAATAACTATCATATTATTTTAATGATATACAATATGATCGGTTAATTTTTTCACGTTATAAAATAGCCACAATTAGTCTTATAATATCTACAATGTAAATATAAATTTTGAAAATTTTAATCCAACCTAAAATAAATATTTTTTGAGAAACTATAAAATAAGAATAAAAAATATAAATGAAACTAAAAATTTGATAAATCCAAAAAATGTTGATAATACTATTTAATACCATTAATAAAGTGACATAATTAATTACTTTGAAAAAATATGTCAATTATGAAGTATATAATCATTAAAACATTATGGTAGTCATATTTCAAACAACTACTATAAATTTTTCATAAATTTTTGGTTGAAATGAGTTGAGGATAGAGAAAACTAGAAAAGTGGTGGGGATAATTGTAATGGTTGTGAGGGTAAAATTATGTATCCACAACCAAAAATAGTGTGGAGCTATGGATTAATGGGGCTAATACTTAGAGACAAAGTGAGTAATACACCTTCTTTTTTTTTTTTTTTTTTTTTTTTTTTTTTGGGTAACACAAAGAATAGTGACGTTAAATTCAACTCTCAGTCTCTCTCTTTTTCTCTCTTAATTATGTACTCCTTTTTATAATTGATACTCCGTATCTATTAATAAATATATTGATGTATTAATTTACGCATTGGCAAATATGGAGTATGTATATACAGAAATGTGTTAATTAATATAAGGTGATGAAGGAAGGTTTTTTTTATTTTTTTTAATCTTTTTCTCGACAGTAGGAAAAAGAAGAAAATTTTTGTTTGCCAAGATATGGATACCGCATATGATATCACACGTCAAAAATAAGAGTTGGTAAAAATAAAGTTACATGAGATCATGAATTGGTTTGCAGACATTTTACGTGACCCAATAGGCCAATAAGGCAATAACTACTAAGAGCATACTCAACTTACTTGATCTGCCTAGAAAAGATTAAATTTAAGTTTTGATTGCATGGATATAATAATTTAGCCGAACTCAAATTTAAAATATATCTGATCTTAGCCGATCTCGTCAAATACGACTCAGTCACTCTAAATGACATCATTCAGGGGATTAAACCTCTTATGGCACCAAAAAAAAAAATTATTTAAAATTTAAAAATCATTCGTTGAGATATTTTTAAGTGTTAAACTTATTATATTAATATTAATTACGTATCTTTAATCTCCTTTTTCTAAAATTCTAACCTTTATTGTTGAATTTCAGAAGAGTTGAAAGCCCTAATTCTTTTTTTTTTTTTTTTTTTGCGTGCTTTTTTCTTTAATATTGTACTTCGTATGTTTTTAAGTTTATTACTGTATAATATATCTTCCTTTTTAGTAGGAATTGTTTTTCTCGGAAAATAGGGTTTTCTTCTATAAGAAAATATTTTTAAATTTATAATAAATTCGATTATTTTTTTAGATAGTCGTATGACTTTTTGTTAATTGATTAATTTATCGATTTACCTATTCAAAAAATATATAATAATTAAATTAATTAAAGTTTAATACCAACAACATAGTAAAGCTATTGGGCAATGTGTTACAAGACCAACTGAAAACGCCACCTGGAAAAAGCTTCCCCATGCATGATTTCATGGAAATGGTTGGGAGAAGTCAAAGAGGGTATCAATGGATGTATTGTTAATTTGTTCGTGCAAATATGTTAAAGGGAGACAATTATGACGAGTGGGCATCTGATATTCAAACCGCTCTTAAAGCTAGAAGAAAATTTGGTTTCTTAAATGGAACAATCACTTCTCCTGTCTTGCCTTACACACAAGACGATTGGAACACCTTACACGCTATGTTGATCTCTTGGCTTATGAACACGATTGATCCAGAGGTCAAGAGTACTCTATCCAAATACAAGGATGCTAAGCGTCTTTGGGATACTCTTAAATCCAGATTTGCTATGGTTAATGGTCCGCGTATCCAACAAATAAAGTCAGCTATTTCCCAATTTGAGCAAACAAAAACGATGTCAGTTGCTACCTATTTTGGCAAATTGACAGCGTTATGGGAAGAACTTAATACTTATGAACCATTGATTACATGTTCTTGTTGCAAAGATTGTACTGCTGGACAAGAACATGAGAAAAGGCGTGACAATAACAGGCTTCACCAATTTCTCATGGGCCTGTATACCGATTATCATGCTCAAACCCGTGCAAATATTCTTTCACAAGATCCTTTACCGTCCCTTGATCGAGCATATCAGTTGGTTGTTCAAGATGAACGTGTTCGACTCGCCAAGGGAGTTCCAGACGACAAGCCTCTTGATGCAGTGGGCTTTGCTGTTCGTTCCTCCTCAAACAAAGCTACACAGGAAGCCTCGGATGGCCAAAAAGATAGAATAGACAAATCTCTTCTTGTTTGTACTCATTGCAAGAAAAGAGGTCACGTGATTTCAGGGTGTTTCGAGCTTATTGGGTACCCTGATTGGTGGCCTGGTTCGTCCAAGGTGCAGGGAGGAGGATCAGGACGTGGTAAACCACACCCTCAAGGCAGAGGCAAGCCTCCTGCTCGAGCAAATGCGGCTGCAGCAGGTAGCCGTGGGTCAAGCAACAACAGTTCAACACCGGCAGCATCTTCTTCGGTTTCCTCTTCTGTCTTTTCGGCTGAACAATGGAAGGCACTTGCGGGTTTTATTGGTAATACCAAAATTCCCGATGATAGATTGAATGGTAAGTTTGATCATACCTCGTGGATCATTGATACAGGGGCGTCTAGACATGTTACCTGCATTGATTCCTGGCTATTGGATGTACATACTGTATCATGTCCGGTTGGCCTTCCAAATGGGAATTCATTGATAGCAACGAAGCAGGGTTAAATTAAATTAGCACCAAAATTAATTCTTCACAATGTTCTCTTCGTTCCGGAATTAAGTTGTAATTTAATTTCTGTATCGCAATTAATTGATGATATGCAATGTACTGTACAATTTACTTCCTCTTCTTGTGCTATACAGGACCGATCGAGGGAGCTGATTGGGACGAGTGTTAGGCGGGATGGACTTTTCTACTTCAAGGGTGCGGGTCCAGTACAACATATCTCTGTCAATGCGGTCTCTTCAACTTTGGCCTTATGGCACAAAAGAATGGGGCATCCTTCGGAAAGAGTAGTAAAGCTTCTCCCTCCTGTTGGCAATTGTAAGGGTAGTTTAAATAAACCATGTGAGATTTGCTTTCGTGCTAAACACCCTAGAAATAAATTTACTTTAAGTGACAATAAGGCAATTTTTGAGAAAGTACATTGTGATTTATGGGAACCGTATAGACATCCATCCTCTTGTGGTGCTCGATATTTTTTAACCATTGTGGATGATTTTTCTTCTGCCGTATGGATTTATTTGTTGCTTGATAAAACTGAAGTTTTTCATATGTTCATGTCATTTGTTGCTATGGTTGATAGACAGTTTTCTCAGACTATTAAAGTAGTTCAAAGTGACAACGACACCGAGTTTAATTGCTTGCTTGATTTTTTTAATGCTACTAGTATATTGTTTCAAAAATCGTGTGTTGGGACACCTCAACAAAATGGTCGGGTAGAGAGAAAACAAAAACACATTCTCAATGTGGGGAGGGCTTTGAGATTTCAGGCCAATTTTTCTATATACTTTTGGGGAGAGAGTGTATTAGCCGCTGCTCATCTTATAAATCGAACACCTTCTCCATTACTTCACAATAAAACCCCCTATGAAATTTTGTTCAATACCAAACCTTCTTATGAAACAATTCGTACCTTTGGTTGTCTTTGTTTTTCTCATAATAAAGATTGCAAAGGTGACAAATTTGCCACTAAAAGTCGAAAGTGTGTTTTTGTGGGTTACCCCTTTGGTCAAAAAGGATGGAGGTTGTTTGATTTAGATTCAAAGTAATTTTTTGTGTCCCGTGATGTTAAATTTTTTGAAGATATTTTCCCTTTTGATGACCCAATTTCAACAAATATAGACCCAAAAACTATTATTCCTATGTATGATCATGTGGATTTTGATTTTACGGAGTGTTTTGACGAAGATTGTGGTGTTTATGAGAGTCCGAGTACACTTGAAACTGCACAAAACCGAGCAGCCCAGACCAACAACCAGGCAACGGGCGCTGGCCTAGCCGCAGCCAATTCCAGTCAGCCTTCTGCCCAGCCCGCTGGTTTTCCAGCGCCCGCTGGGCAGCACCAGCACCCTGAACCGCCACCAATAACCTCCCAGCCGCCGCCTATTGCTGAACCGCCACCAATAACATCTCAGCCACCACCTACTCCACAAAATACCACCACAAATCCTACAAATACCTCACAAAATCAGCAACCTATTGAGCCTCAAAATTCAGAATTGGGTCGTGGTCTAAGGACTAAAATACCATCAGTGAAGCTTCGGGATTTTGTTCTTGATCCTGTCACTCATACAGTTGTAGCTAAAAGTCCATCTGCTTCCTCTTCTAACACATCTTCCATAAAGCATCCCTCAGGTACTCCTTATCCTATAGCACACTATATAAATTGTAACAGTTTTTCTTTGCGATACAAAAATTTTATTGCAACTATCATTTCCGGCAAGGAACCGAGGTCTTTTAAGGAGGCCATGAAGGATGAAGGATGGAGAAAATCAATGAAAGATGAGATACAGGCTCTTGAGAACAATGGCACCTGGACAATGGAAGATCTTCCACCTGGTAAGCGGGCCCTAGGTTGCCAATGGGTCTACAGAATCAAGTACAGATCTGACAGCAGTGTTGAACGTCTAAAATCTAGATTGGTTGTGTTTGGTAACCATCAAAAGGAAGGCATTGACTACACAGAAACTTTTGCTCCAGTGGCTAAAATGGTCACTATTCGGGCATTCCTTGCTATTGCAGCTTCTAAAAACTGGGAATTGCATCAAATGGATGTTCACAACGCCTTCCTTCATGGCGATCTAGATGAAGAGGTCTACATGAAACTTCCCCCCGGATTTGAATCATCTCATCCAACCAAGGTATGCCGTCTTCGAAAATCTTTGTACGGTTTGAAGCAAGCGCCTAGATGTTGGTTTGCTAAACTTGTTTCTGCATTGAAAAACTATGGATTTCTTCAATCGTACTTTGATTATTCTTTATTCACTTATACCAAAGGGACAATGCAAATTAATGTCCTTGTTTATGTGGATGATCTCATTATTTCTGGGAACAATTCTACTACTTTACAGGCTTTTAAAGCCTATCTCAGTGACTGCTTTCATATGAAGGATCTAGGACCATTGAAATATTTTTTAGGCATTGAAGTTGCTCGTAGTAAGTCTGGATTATTTCTTTGTCAGAGAAAGTATACCCTTGATATAATTTCTGAAGCAGGTTTGTTAGGCTCTAAACCTGTTGGTGTTCCAATGGAACAAAATCATCGCCTGGGGTTGGCCACTGGGGAACATCTTTCTGATCCGGAAAAATACAGGCGTCTTGTTGGACGATTGATTTATTTAGCAGTCACTAGACCAGATTTAGCCTATTCAGTTCATGTATTATCCCAGTTCATGCAGGAACCCAGGACTGAGCACTGGGATGCAACCATGCGAGTTGTACGATATTTGAAAGGGACGCCGGGTCAAGGAATTTTATTGAGATCAGACAGTGAATTAAGTTTGCAAGGGTGGTGTGATTCGGATTGGGCGGCATGTTCGGTCACTCGCCGCTCTCTCACAGGTTGGCTCGTTTTTCTAGGGCATTCTCCTATTTCATGGAAGACTAAGAAGCAGAACACAGTTTCTCGTAGCTCGGCAGAGGCGGAGTATCGTTCAATGGCAGCCATTACTTGTGAATTAAAATGGTTGAAAGGTCTCCTTTTGAGCTTTGGGAGTTCATCATCCTAAGGCTATCAAATTATTTTGTGATAGTCAATCTGCTTTACACATTGCCAAGAACCCTGTTTTTATGAGCGAACGAAACACATTGAAGTTGACTGTCATTTCGTTCGTGATGCAATTACTGAAGGCCTCATTGATCCAGCATATGTTTCAACGCATACACAACTTGCTGATATTTTTACTAAGGCACTTGAAAACCTCAGTTTGACTACTTACTAAGCAAGTTGGGCATGTTTACTCCACCTGCTCCAACTTGAGGGGGGGTGTTAGGAATATGTTAAGAATATTTTGTGGATTAATTTTAGGAGGAATATATTCAAGGAGATAATTGAGAATATTTATCCCTTGATTATAGGATTGTTAGGATATTTTTGTTTAGAAAATTATTCTAGATTGATCCTAACAAGTTGTATTAATATCTTCTTAATTCAATCAAACGAAGGCAAGAATCAAAAAAAGTCTTTCTCTGATTTTCTCTGACTTATCAAAATATAACGGCCAACACCTTCATGTTTTCATGGCCTTACTTGCTTCATTGGTATTGACGTTGCATTTATTATACGAAGTTTTTAAGGTTACACCCATTGGGATTTGGGATATTAAAATGAGGTTGGTTATGAGTTTTGGTCATCGATGGATAAAGTGGAAAAGAAATTACACAAACCTTTAAATAAATTAATCGGATATATACATTATATATCGTAAATTAAAAGTAAACTTATGCTAGAATAATCAACCGTTATCTCGATATACGGAGTATAATAAAGGTAATCTAATATATACACATAAATTTGTAAATTAAAAGTAAACTTATGCTAGAATAATCAACCGTTATCTCGATATATAATAAACGTAATCTAATATATACACACATAAATTTGTTCTCTTTATGCAAAATTGATCCGGTAAAAATCAATCAAATAAATTAAGTACCCGATTTAGAAAAATGATCCATTTAAAACAAACGGAAGTAATACACTTAACATAAACGGCCGATAAAGAAAGTCTTAAGAATGAGAGTGTCATTAAAAAAAAAAACCGTGGATTTAAAGAAAGTGTTACAGAAAAACGAAAGGAGTAATAAATAACTAGATGGCCAAAATGGTCACCTAAGGCCTTGCTCTGCTTTAACTGCCTAAAAGAGGAAAAATAAAACAAAAACAAAAAAAAATTACATGCCCAAAAATCCAATATATATGAGCCACACATTCCCTTACATATGAGCCACACATTCAAAATACACAGATCTAAAATTCTTTATGAGCCCACACATTCCTTTAAATGTTCGATTACCCCCACACCCAAAAGAAGAATAAAAAAGTAGAAAAATGGAAGAAACTAACTTTGGCAAAAAACATTTTGTACATGGTGCATGTCATGGTGCATGGTGCTGGTACAAGCTTAAACCTCTAATAGAGCACGCCGGGCAACGTGTAACGGTGCTCGACTTGGCGGCCGCAGGGATTAACCCGACGAAGATCTTTGAACTTCATTCTCTTCGCGATTACACCGATTCATTAATTCAGTTGATGACATCTATTCCTGATGATGAGAAAGTTGTTCTTGTTGGGCATAGCCTTGGAGGTCTTAGCATTGCTTTGGTTACGGAAATGTTCCCTCAAAAAATTGATGTTGCTGTTTTTCTCACTGCTTTTATGCCTGATTCTCGTCACACCCCTTCTTTTATTTTTGATCAGGTTTTCATACGTCTCTCAATTTTTATATCCTATTGATTACTAAATTACTTCGTTATGTCGATTTGTTGTACGAGTACATGTTATGATGTAAAATATTTTTGGATACATTTTAATTTAATTATATATTCAAAAAAATAAACTTTATATAGTTTGGTTATAGGTATTAGTTAAATTTACTAGATCAAATTAATTGTGAGTGACACTCAAGATATGGAATGTATGTAGTAGAATACTAACAAAAGGGGAGTCGTTCAATTTGTTAAAAAAGTTATAATTATCTTCACATTAAAGGAAATATATAAGGGAGTATTATGCGCTATAAAATAAAAATAGTCTAATTTTTCTTGATTATATTATTTAATGTAACTTTTTGTAAAATCATCATATATACTACTGTTCACCTCACCTTATTTTTATTGAACTGAAATTATTTTTACTGAACTTTAATTATTTTTACTGAACTGAAATTAATTTTACTGAATTGAAATTATTTTTGCTGAACTAAAATTATTTTTACTGATTTTCTATTATATTTCTTCTTTATAGTTACTGAATTTTACTGAACTGAAATTATTTTTACTGGACTGAAATTAATTTTACTGAACTGAAATTATTTTTACTTAATATTATTTTTTAAGTTGAAGTGAATAGGGCCTAATAAAAATGTCATTTTCTAAATTAATCACAGAAATAAAAAAAAAATTTAAAAAAAGTCTAATTCTTCTTTACAATATATAAAATTAATGTAATTTTCTCAAAATAATTCTATAATATAAAAAAATGAAATGTCCTTTTCTTAATCACAATACTCCAAAACGTTAAGTTCTCATTTTTGTAAAAACTGATTCCGTATACTCTAATATGATGGTGATATAATTAACCTCCACTAATGCACATTGGTGTTACTTTAATTTCTTTAACCTGCAAAAAAGTAGGTCTTAATTTTGTTACAAATAATTAAGTAATATAATACAAATTTTGGCCCTTGTAGCTTATTGAATAAATGAAAGTTTTGGTTAGCTAAATGTTACTGTAATTAAACAAAAGAATACATTAAAGTATCTGAAACATTGAAACTACCCTGGAAAAATACCTAACCATCCATGATTAGACACATAATTGTTTCATTATGCTCTTTTCTTAAACATATTTTAAATTAAATACTTTTTTTTTTCAAATTCTTTTTTGAATTAAAAGCTAACTCCATACATTCTAATCTAGTATGAAATTAATTTTACTGAAATGAAATTATTTTTATTAGACTGAAATTAATTTTACTGAAATGAAATTATTTTTACTTAATATTATTTTTTAAGTTGAAGTGAATAGGGCCTAATAAAAATGTCATTTTCTAAATTAATTGCAGAAATTAAAAAAAAAATTTAAAAAAGTCTAATTCTTCTTTACAATATATAAAATTAATGTTACTTTCTGTCAAAATAATTCTATAATTTAAAAAAAATGAAATGTCCTTTACTTAATTACAATACTCCAAAACGTTAAGTTTTCATTTTTGTAAAAACTGATTCCGTATACTCTAATATGATCGTGATATAATAAACCTCCACTAATGCACATTGGTGTTACTTTAATTTCTTTAACCTGCAAAAAGTAGGTCTTAATTTTGTTACAAATAATTAAGTAATATAATACAAATTTTGGCCCTTGTAGCTTATTGAATAAATGAAAGTTTTGGTTAGCTAAATGTTACTGTAATTAAACAAAAGAATACATTAAAGTATATGAAACATTGAAACTACCCTGGAAAAATACCTAACCATCCATGATTAGACACATAATTGTTTCATTATGCTCTTTTCTTAAACATATTTTAAACTAAATACTTTTTTTTTTTTCAAATTCTTTTTTGAATTAAAAGCTAACTCCATACATTCTGATCTAGTATGAATACTCTTTTTTTTTTTTTTTCCAAATAGCTAAGTCATGTTTTGTCCAACTTCTTTTACGCTTATTTCAAGGGAAAAAAGGTTATGTAATAAATTTAACAAGGTTTATTAAAGGTTAGCTAATTTAAATTAAGTTCTAAGTTTGAGTAAATTCAAATAAGCGAAAACGCCAAAAACCATTTGAATTAAACGCACCCTTTAATAATAGCTCTAACGGGGGCATGCAAGTAGAAATGGATTCGATTCATATAGAATCCCAAGATGAACTTCGTTCATCCTCAAGAAAATGTTTTTTTTTTAAAAGTTGTTAAGTAACATATGTATGAGTCATTATACGAAGTCATATTTATTCTTGAGAAATTTTCTGATTGGTATTTATTTAACAATTGTAGATGTCATATTGTTTTGAATCAATAAAATCATCCAAAATAATTAATAAATGCTTCATGTTTTGTTTTTATTTTTATGTTGGAAAAGTTTATGGCAAGTATGCCATCAGCAGAAGAATATTGGTTGGACGCAGAATTCAAGAGCTCCGATGACCCAAATGACACAATTACATCGTTTTTATTTGGTCCTCGTTTCATGTCTAAGCTTTATAAGTTGTCCCCCCCTGAGGTAACTTGTTTTCTTACTCCATTTTTAATTAAATTCACAATATAAATTAAACTAAGATGTAGTCGTGTTAATGTACGAAATGTTTAATCATATACATATTATTGTATGCAAGACAACATGTAATTATATGAAAATGTTATTAGTTACTCCGTATTACATTATCTCCTATATGATAATAACTAACAAAAATATTAAATAGTATAGTCTAAAGCAATTCTAAATTTATTATTTTATTGACATACATACTTAACTAAGTATTATTTTGTGGAAATGTTACAAGGATTAGGAGCTTGCTATGACATTGAAAAGGCCATCATCGATGTTCCTTGAGGATCTGTCGAGGCCAGAGAGTAAGCTTTCCGAGGAGAAATATGGATCAGTTCGGCGTGTTTATGTGATGTGCGACGAAGATGAAGCAATACCACCAGCGTTCCAATCATGGGTGATTAAGAATGATGAGGTGAAAGAAGTGAGGATGCTTAAACACGCAGATCACATGCCCATGTTCTGCATGCCAAAACAGCTTTGTTACTGTCTTTTGGAGATAGCTCTGAAACATTATGCTGCTAACTCTGATGACTCTCCAACTTCTGATCCCAATTAAGTCAAAAACTATATTTTATGCTAAGTAATTAGAGGATTATTGTCTCTTGATGACTCATTTTATTGGTAATTTTGAACTCTTAATCACCTATGTTTGTCGCCTTTTCATCGTTATGATCGTTTCATGTTATTGTAAGCTCTTGTGCCGTTAATGTTTAACATGTACGGTGTACAAGATGAAAGTTTCCTAAATAAAAGTTGGGTTTAAAATGATTGTGCGAGATGACTTTAAAAATCCTCTTATTGTTGTGGATAGGTTAGGTTACCTGTGTTTTTGTAATCCCTCCGTTCCCAAATAAAAGTCTTATATGTCTTTTATACATGTTTTTTGAAAGGTGAATAGTAAAAAAATATAAAACAGTTTACTTTGATTAAGCAATTTAAGGAGAGTTTATATATAATATACATTGTCATTGTGGCTTGTGAAATATGAGCGTAGTTTAAGATATTTTTATATCTTAGCGAGCATTACAGTGAGGTTACTCAGAAATTGAGAATGAATAAAATAAGCTAACCATGAATAAGATAGTTATATAACTTAGCTAACCATGAAACTCTTCCTCGATTGTGAATTTAGTTGTCATCTGATCAATAATCGTTGGTTGAATACTCACTGTAGAACCAGTAGAAGTATTTGCATGCATTTTGTTCGAAAGCAGGTCTCTGAATGAAGGTCATATCTGCTTCGAAAGGTCAGTCTAGGACTCTATGAAGGGTGTCCTTGTGCTACATGACCACCTGCACGAGGTGTATGCAGACACACGCACAGTTCCTAATGTCGGACTAATTTATATTGTTATCATATTAGTCCCTCCTTCGTTCAAACTGAAAGCGTTTAGCTCATGTCCCATCCCTACTATTAAATGCAATTTGAATACAGAATAGACGGGGAAAAAATGAATATAGATCGAAAGCATTTAAAAACTTCGTTAAGAATTGCATCACTGAGCTCTTAACACAACATGCTTCTTACAGTAGATTGTATGAGTATAATTCCTAACAGTCCAAAGCTAAACTTAGTGCCAGAACTTCATACAACTCAACTAGACAGTATGTATTTTATATCTGCACCAGGACGAGGGCTTCACCTCGCCCAACTTTACATAAAGGACTAATGATTTACAGACAAAACGTGTGGATGTACTGAATGCTATGGCGGAAAATCTGGCTCCAACAATTTGCCCCTTTAAAAAATGGTACTCTTGATCAACTTCATGAGAAAATACTCTAAGGCATCCCAGATACCTTTACGAAAGAATTATATAGGGCACCAAAAAGGAACATAGACCCATTCCTTTGTTGAGCAGCCAACCAGGCAAGGTATTTGATTTTATGTTGGTAAGAATTGTTAACTTTACCTATTGATTCGAGTTATTATGTAACGTCCTTTCTCCAAATCATAAATAGTTTTGAAGTATGGTTTCCTCCATTGGGAAACATAACAGGCTGCAAAGGTTAACAAGATTGTTGCACCCATAATCAAGAAAGAGTTAGGGAAGTTGTCACTAATCAAAGAAATCCACCCATAGTTTGCTTCATTTATAGCTGTAGTCTGTAAGATGAAAGCACCTAATGCCCAATCGAGAGGTACATTCTCCACCTGATTGGTGTATCCAATGCTGTAAAATAAGTATTTCCGTCAATCAGCAATTAGCAGAATAGGGGAACCAAAGCATAATAAAACAAGGGAAAAATGGATTAAACTACATGAGAAATCACAACATTTCCTTCTTCACTAATCCAACTCAAAAATAAAACGTCATCATAAAATAGACTTATAAGAAAAGCATTCAAGATATCAGGTCACTGGAACGCGGGGAACCAACAATCATTAGTGAGCAAGACTGCCTGAAACAGCTTAGAATAGGAATACAAAATTTTGATCCAGAATAACAAGACTTCACTAATTTAACCTCAAATTAGGATTAGGGCAGGGGTTCAGGGTATTGACAAGCTAGTTAGAACCAGAATATAAACTATTGTTATATAGAAAATTACCTTGTGTCATCCAATGCAATGTTAAGGCTGTCATGTAAAAGGGCCACAATGTAGGCAGATGAGAAGCAGTAGTGTAAGAGATCTTCCTCAGCAAGTGAAGAATATTTCTTTCGAATATTTGGCCAATTCTCTTCACAAAATTCTTGACCAGCTTCCATTAGATCAGAGAGAACTGCCTTTGAAGCCAAGCCAAAGAACTAAACAGAAATTGAAAAGAAATCGTTGTGAATGTAATATCCATTCAAATGGAGAGCAACAAGTTTTTAGCATATATTCCCACAGCTCCATCAAAAGAAAGAATTACAAACCTGTGATGTATGAAAGAAATTCTCAGTAGCCAAGAATCTGCCATGCAGCTTAGGCATAAATGTGGCTCCCAAACTGCAATGATCATAGGCACAACCCTCTAGAAAATAAACTTGGTGTAAGTGTTTAATTACCAAAAATAAATAAAATAAAAAATTTAAAATTTAAAAATAAAAATAAAAAAAAAAGGTATAATCATATCAAAATGGAAAATTTTGACAATTACATCCAGCAAAAATACCCATTTTGCGGGTTACAACTTACAACCATCAAAATTTATTTTTGCAAATTACAACAAAAAAAGTCACCCAACATTTTAAACTACAACCAAAATTCGATTTTTGACCACTTTCACAAAAATATGATGTCATTATATCATTAGATGATTCCAAACTAGTATTGCTTGGGGGTTATATTTTATATCAATAAATGATTAACATCATATTCCAGTAAAAGTGGCCGAAATTTGGATATTGGTTATAATTTAAAAGTTTATTTTTGCAAATTACAACCAAAAAAGCCACCCAACATTTTAAACTACAACCAAAATTCGATTTTCGACCACTTTCACAAAAATATGACGTCATTATATCATTAAATGATTCCATAGGTTGGGGGTTATTTTTTATATCAATAAATGATTAACATCATATTCCAGTAAAAGTGGCCGAAAATTGGAATTTGGTTGTAATTTAAAATGCTTGGTGACTTTTTTGGTTGTAATTTGCAAAAATAAACTTTGATAATTGTAACCCGCAAAATGGGTACTTTTATCGGTTGTAATTGGTAAATTTTCCTATCAAAATTGATAAACACATTTAAAAATCTTACCAAAAGTATAACATTTAACTATATCAAAATTATTTTATTGAAAATATAAAGAAAATCACGGTCAATTAGTTTTTCTTTATAATTTTCAAAATCATCCTCGGAAAAAAAAAATATTTTATTGAACTTAGTAACTTACCTTTAAACTTTTTCTTTATAATTTTAAAGTGTAAAAGGTGATAACTGATAAGAATAGGTAGTCAAAGTCGCTAAGCAAAAAAAAATAAAGAAAATCATGGTCAATGCATGCAGAACAGATCAAACGTAGTATCATTTCAGACAGAAAGGAACAAATGACAACCTTTGCCCCTCTGTAACAGCTTCAAGGCAGCAGCTCTGCACTCTGAGAAGTTCCCGGCTGCATGGAAAGTGGATAAATATTTTTTGGCCGAAGAATCAGGAGCAAGATTAAATGAATTAATGCTCTCAGCATATCCCTTAGGAGTACAAGGGTCCATAGTTAGTTCCTCTTCAGATGATTTAGTAGCTGCACAAGGAAATTTATAAAGAACTTCTGACATTACATTAATACCATAAATTCATAATAACAAACCACAGCCATGAATCTGCAAGGCCTTTTACAACGGCATTAAGTACATATAAGATGCACTTCTGTATCCTAATTCCTAAAAATCACATAAATGAAGCTCTGGGTTATATATTATCAATCCAACAGCTAATAAATAACCTACTCTGAATTCAAACGCAATATTCAATTGACATATTTAGTCACAGGAGAGCACCATTCACAAAAAGTTGCACAAGGCATTTATCACTTAGCTCATCATATAGTACCAACACAACACTGTTTACCACCAAGAAAAGGCGTAAAAATAGTGTGCTCTATCAGTTTCACTGACCTTACTTTGTAACATGGGTTTGTTTCAAACGTAATGTCCAAATCACTTCACAGCTTTGTTCATACAATATACAATTTAAAACCAGCTATAATGAGACCTTTAAACTTTTTTAGTATCCATGTTTGGGCATCTATATAGTAAGGAATGTAGTCACTTACCCAAGGTTATGTCACTTGAAACAAGTAAATCCTTCAGTGTATCAAAAGCTACATTCTGAAAAAGATAAAATATAAAAAGCAAAGGATGTTAAACATATGGCTACAAATACATTCATACTATCTTAGAGCTTTTAGAGATGTGTAGAAAATTTAAGTGATGAGCAGCTAACAGACACTTAAGTTCCACACATCAAATACGTGGCACAATGCCATTTTAATCAAGGTCAAAGGAGTGTTGATCCTAAGAAACAATTCAGCTAACAATAGAACAGGGATTTAAAAGCACAATGGCAACTTGGTAACAGTCGAAGTCCAAGGTTGGGGAAAAAAAAATCCCTAAGAGGAGCCATACAATTAACAAAAAATCAACCTCTAAAGAGGATTTCCCCTTCCTAAAATGAGGGAAAATATTTCACTGTTCCAATCCCTCCAAAGAATATTCTGGTTTCGTTATAAATAGGAAAATTTGTGTAAAAGGACCTTTTCAGTGGTCGGTTTTGTTTAAAAGGACCTTTTAAGTGAAAATTTGTAAAAAGGGACCTTTTAAGTTGTATTATGTTGTGAGAGGGTACTAGGCTGAGTTTTCCGGCTAGCTCTAGCGTTGACTCTCACGTGGGAGTCACGTGAATTTAAAAAAAAAGCCCACACGTTTTTTTTAAGAAGTATGAAAGGGGGAAAAATGAAAGGGATAGTTCGAAAAGGAGGGAAATTTGGGGGAAAGGGAGAAAAAAACGTGTGAACTTTTTTTTAGAAGTCACGTAACTCCCACGTGAGAGTCAACGCCAGAGCTCCATTGTTGACCATCCGGAAAACCCAGCCTAGTACCCTCTCACAACATAATACACCTTAAAAGGTTCTTTTTCACAACTTTTCACTTAAAAGGTCCTTTTACACAAAATCTTCCTAATAAATAATGTTGAAAATTTTAAGGTCCTCAAAAACAAGAGAGGAATCCACAAATTTAATCGCTGCCAGCGGCCAGAAAGAGAGAAGGTAAAAAATAAAATAAAATAAAATAAAATAAAAGTAATAAATGAATTAAATATATATATATATATATATATATATATATATATATATATATATATATATATATATATATATATATATATATATATATAAAAAGGGCATATAGGGTTGTTACTGCATAATTAAATATTTTGAAAGGAAAAAATCAAGAGACAAATCAGAAGCAGGAGGGATGAGGGGTTTTTCTGCCGTGAAAGGAGAGGATCCCCCCCCCCCCGCCCCTGCGCGGGTGGTGGGATTGGCCACAATCCTGAGTTTCTCACAATTCAAGTAGCCTTTTTTACCAGATCTACTGTTACGGGCGAGATGTCTCTACGAAAGAGAACGTAAACTTACTAAGAAAACAAAAGATTTTTCTTTACAAAATTGTTAGAGATTTAAAAATAAAAATACATATTGAAAACCTATACAAGCTAGTGGCCACTATTAGAAGTTAACTACTTCACATGTAACAGTGAAACCAAATAAAGCTCCAACACAAGAATTATTAGGTCTTTAGCTAAGGGAAACCATTACTAAGCTCATAAAACAACATTAATAAGTTCTGATGTTGCACGACAAAAACTCAGCATAGACGCTCATTGTAGGGAAGAGATGTTCACTGACTTCGCATTGATACAAATCTTGTTATCTTGCTCTATCTTAAATACTTTCATTTAGAAGACCAATAAAAACGATATGGAAGAATAATTCAAACACAATTACCAAACTCCATTGGTGTTAAAGATACCTGACCAAAGTGAAGCAAGCTATTACTGTAGAGATGATAGGTCACATTTCCATAATTAAGCGAACGAGAGAACTCTGAAGGCACTGACTCTCTTGAGGCAAAAGTGACCTAAGTAAGAGCATCGGCATGAAGATTAGTCAGAACATCAAACCAATGATATAATAACCATTCACATGTAAGCATGTAACAGACATTACAAGCTTCTAAGACACGGAATTAACTGTAACATCTATGTATACAGATGAACTCAAAAGATATGTCCTGCCACTGCAATTAAACATCCATAAGCACTAAGCCATTGACCATTGCAACTATCACCACCACCCAATACCAAGGATAGGTCTGGGGAGGTCCAAGAGTACACAGCTTACCCCAAACACGTAAGCGAGATAAAGTTCCCAAATATTTCGTTGACCATTACATATTCCAGAACTACCAAGGCTCAATATTAAAAACAATGCTAAAGGTTGGTTCAGGTTATATCTTAATGTCATTCACCTTCATTGATTTTAAAAGATATTGAGGAGTTTCTAAGCCCCACAAGACAATTTAGGATTCTCTGAGACAAACCGTCAGCAGAGGTGTTTCAAAGGAGTTTAACAAATATAACAGCTATTCTACAAGGAAGACAAGAAAACAAAAAACAACTTAAAGCTAAATACAGTGAGAGATGATCAAAAATATTACCAAACGAAAATAACTATCAGTAGAGATGGAAATTCAGTTCCTTCGGAAAGGTAAGATCTGAAAAATGGCACAGATCTATTGCACGTGTGCACCCAATTTATTCCAAAAAATTGACGATAATAATTAGCCTCAGTCATTTGAAAAGCTACTGCTATGATAGTAAAACATATTGTACATATAAAAGAGGTGTGTATGGATAAACATGTTCAGGGGCCCACTACGCTTCTAAAGTACGTAAATAATATCTTAGGTGCGTTTGGTTGGGGGTATTCAACAAATGGAAAGGCAATCAACTACCATTAATCCCTTTGATGATGTTTGTTAGACAATTTCAATCATTCCCTTTACCCCCCCTCCCATTACCCCACTTTCCTCTACTCTCATTCCTCACCCCCACCCCCAAGGAAATCACTATAAGTCGCTAACCCTCAAGCTCCTCTTCACCCAACTACCTTGACCACTTTCATAACTACCTTAACCACCTTTGAAAACACCAACCGACCACCCAAATTACCGCCAGCCACTGAAACCACCGCCTAGCCACCAGAAACACCAACACCGACCACCCACAGAATCCATTCCCCAGCCGCGATGAGAACCTCCGCCCATCCAAATTCACCCTAAATCCACCCAGAAAACCCCACCCACCCCCAAACCACCCTTTCCTACCGAAAACCACCAAAACTCACCAAAAAAAAAAAAAAAAACACCACCCACCACGGTCACCATTACCCTAAAAAACCATACCCACCACGAAAACCACCCAAAAAAACCCAAACCATCTATATAAACACCCCTTAAACAACCCCCAAAACCCAAAAATCAACCCTTAACACTCTAAAACAACCAAGCAACCAGATCTACTAAAAGTTCACTAAAATAAAAAAAATAAAAAAATAAAAAGAAACAAAAAAGAGAAGAGAGACGACAGTAGCGACAGTGTTGGGATTTGGGCGGAGGGAGGGGCGAAGTGTTGAAGGCATAAGAATGACACTTGCAATGGAGGTGGTGGAGACTAATGGTGGTGGTTGTGGATGGAAGAGTAGACTTGATTCCCTTTCTTTTTTTGATAAAATAAACAACCAATGGTAAATAAAGGCGTTGCTTTCCTTCCTCTCTTATTCCCTTTCCTAATGTCTTTCCCTATTCCCCCACCCAACCAAAAGCCCCCTCAATATCTTCTTACAATTAATCATGTTTCCTTTATTCTCCTAAAATATCACTTCAACTTATCAATGCAAACTTGAAAAATCCACACAAACCCTTACAAATATATAATTACCGCAAACATTGCATAAAAGATGTTACAAGTGTGAAATTCTACTCATGCATTACATACATAGAGAGCTAGTATGGTTATAATTAAACCCCACCAAAGGATCCTTTTAAAGACTCTGATAGAGTAAATTGCCAAATAATCCAAATTTACTAGATCATCAACCAAACAACCACCTATTTTACAAACATATAGCGAATTAACATATTATATATGAAGATACTATAACCTTATCTCCTTTCAACTAATGACAAATACTTCACTAGAACACAATACAAAAACACAACACACACACACACCAACCCACCAACCAAAAAAAAAAAAAAAGTAGTAATGAAAAAAAAAACAATTAAAATTTGATTAGCATTGAATGAATTAATTATGGAAGGTAAAGAACAACTATCATACCTGAGCAGAAGCCCCACCAAGCTCAATGATACCAGTTGTTAAGTGAGGATCGCCTCCAAGAGTACCAAGGGCATAATTAGCCACAACCCAAGCATACAAACCTTCATCTGAGCCTAATATAGCAACAATTATCAATTAGTGATCATTGCCAATAAGTAAAAACATTTCCCACTGATGTATCATCAAATTAAAAAAATAAACATAAAAAATTAGAAGGAAAAAAAAACTAAAGGCGCACCAAGGTGATTCGGAGTTCCTTGCAACTTAAAAGAGCCTCAACGTGACTCACTTGAATATATATATATAATGCTTCCTAACAACACATTATCACCAGCGCTAACTCCTCATGGATTATGGGCCCAAGATAAACCTCCAAGATGTCTTACCCATTAAAAATTTTGCACTTTCACTCACTCCCAATTATGTGATATTTCCTCTCTCCAACAGAATTAAAGCACAATACACCCATCTTCATAAATTGAAATAAAGAAACCTCCTCAAAAGTCCAAATCTATAGAAACCTACCAGCTAGAAAGCTAGGTATATAAGCCAAATTTTAGCTAAGTGAAAAACATCTACCTACTCAGTCTCAAAACTCAAAATTATACATCAATTGACTTACAACTCACCAATTTAACCAAAATTTGTTCAAACAATGCAGTATGAAACTATATGGCTTGCAACTCATTGAAAGAAAATACAGCAATAGTGCTACAGTTTATGTAATTCTAAAATTAAAAAAAAATGTTTACTATTGAAAAAAATTTATAATAATTAAAAAAAAAACACAAATATACACTATTAAAAGACAATAGTTGGTACAGCAGTTTACACTAGGTTTACTATGTATTTCACATTATACCATATTGTATACAACCTATCTCGTAACATACCAACAACAATGTCCAAAGCATAGTCTAAATGATGGAGTCATTTGCATGAAGCTAGATTTAATTTCCAATGGTCTTCATCAGTGATCCCTTCTCTCCACTCCCTTCTATCAAATGATATATACACCTTAACTCTTTCTATCTCAGTCATATTGTCAATGTGGGGAACATCTTGGTCAATTTCTCAACGAAGTAGACATGAGGATAACTATGGTTAAATATTCACTCTTAGGCAACTCTTCATCAAATAATGCTACTATATCCTCTCTTGGACTCCCTTCTAGTGATAAACCAATATTCCACATACTCAATTTTGCTTCAACTTAATCTAGACCCACTAGACTCTTAACAATGGCCTCCATTGCTCAAAATTAGCATAAACCTGAACATTCCAACCCATACAACAATGCTTGTCTAATAATCATTTAATAGAATTTTCACTTTTAACTTCAAAGGAATACTTGGGTAACATCTTGGTCAATTCCACCATTCCTCTATGGATTTGACCTAAGGACACCTAAGGTGCTAAAAAGTAAAAATAGTCACTCTTAGGCAACTCTATCATTTAATGTCATTACATCCTTGCTTGACTCTCTCCTAGTTCTAAAACAATACTCCATCTACTTAATTTTGCTTAAAATTAATCTAAACCCTATAGATTTGAATGGTTGCTTCCATTGCTCCAATTTAGCATCAACCCAAACTTTCGTCTCGTCAACCAATATAATTTACAACATACACCCTAGTATCTCATCATGAGTAAACCTTGTTAGTTCATCTTATGCTGCTACAAAGAGGAAAGAACTAAATGTAAAACCTTGGTGTAGTGTCGTAGTCTAATCATAACAAGAAAATCTTTTGTTATTCCATCTAGCCACCACAAGTCCAAACATTAGCTTTTACGTCTCGATATAGAATCAAAATCAATATAATTATGAGATACTCCTCATAATCATTACCCATCAAATCACATCTCTCCACAAGGTCCTTGTCCTAATTCATGTGGAGATCCATTTTCCTCTCCCTATAATACTCAATAATTTCCCTTATCAAATTTATAGATTCTACATTAGACTACAGCTACATCATCCCCTTTGTTCTTAAGGTTACCAAGGTCCTCTATCATGTTCATCTTCTAAATCTTGACCTTACAACATATACAATTGCATCAGTGAACAAAATGATTATAGATAGTCCATAATTGAGAAAACAAGCCAAGGCTAATCAATCCACCAAAATATAAAGCTAGTAAATAAATATCATAATTGCAACTCAGCTCACATTACTTATACCTGTAATCACCGACGCCCAATCATCACGAAACTTCAATCCCGACGACCTCATAAGTCTGCGACAAGACTCCAGAATCCGATTTTGAACTTCCAAATCAAGTAACCGAAGCCCAGCAGTAGCCATTAACCTAACCTCAGTATCTCCCCACAACTCCCTGGGCACAATCCTCTTCCCAAAATCCAACAGCTCCAGCAACGACTCGCCAGCTCGCTCCGGATTGTCCTCAAACGCTGACAACCCCGGATTAACCCTCATCGACGAATGCCCATCCGGCCCAAAATCAAACCTTGGCACCCCACCTTCAACCTTATACTCAAAAACATGAATGCGCGACCCAGTACTACCACCATCAATAATAATCCCAAATTTCCGGCCATTTTCCGGGGTTCTTTGCCCCAAAAACACAAATGATAAGTAAAAAACAATAACAAATGCAACAGGAAAGAAAAAAACAGTAACCCAATTAAATTTAGGTTGTGCTTTTGGGATTCTAGAAAAGGAACTGGATCTGGAATTAGGGTTTTGCTTAAATTGAAACGATTTGATAGAAAGGGGCTCCATTATAGGATCTGGGTCGGATTTTATCTCGGAATTGGGCTTTGGAGATCGGGCATTAGGTCGGCGCATCAAAGAAGATGATGATCAATTGAAAAAATCATGGAATTCCCCCCCTTTTCAGGAATTTCGAAAGAGGCAGATGAATTAGGGATTTTTTAGTGTAAAAGAGCAGAGAAGATTAAGAATTGAAAATGAGGGAAGGAGGAAAATCGAGAAGATTTTTGTGTGTCTTCTCAGCGTTTCTTCCTTCCCACGGCGTTAACGCGCGCTCACTCTCTCTCTCTTGATTTTCTGGTGTGATTTCTGAGTGCCGACGTTTTGCAAAAAAGATGGTTTTGTTTGTGTTTTTCAAAATCAAAGTTTCATTTTTGGATTCGTTCGCATAGAAAACTTCTGACTGTAGTCCCCAGAATGCCATCAAGGACTAGTATGGTTAATCATGATTCAAGAATGGTAATGGCTACCCAACTTTTCGCAGTTGGGTTAGGATGATTAATCATATTTGTGTGGTCGGCGTTAGAAAAAAAAAATATATATATATATATATAGATGAGGAACACTTCGTGGTGCAGTGGTTAGAGGTTGTCTCGCATCCTTGAAATATGAGGTCAAGCTTTACAGGCAATCACAACAAGTATCATGTGATAGGATTATGGTTGGAGCCCAATTAACCTTACCTTATGAAAAAAAATAGCTTAGTCACGTGCTACGTCTCTAATTCATATATGCTCCGTAGTATATACTTGAAGAAGGTGTTTGTTTGGAGGGATAAAAAGAGGTGGATAGGGATAAAAGGAAAGGGATTCAAATATTCTCTTGTTTGTTTATGGGGATAGGGATAACATAGGAGAGGGGGATAAGGATAAAAATACAAGTTATCCCTCCAAAATAATAACTAGGGTGAGATGGTATAAGGGTTAGGGACAAAACAAAGGAGGTAAAATACATTTTTACCCTTAATGAAAGAAAGAACGATGAAAGAGGAAAAATTTGGGTAAGAGTAATTAAGTAACTTTCTTACTTATCCCAATATAATTGTCAATTCCTACCAAATAAGGGACAACCTCTTTTTTATCCTTATCCCACGTACTAATCCTCAAATCTTATCCCACCCTTTTATCCTCCTTATTCCTATCCCTCATACCAAACACCCCGTACATCCTTAAGCAATAGAGGGATAACAATGGAAATATTGGTCATACTTGTGGATTGCTTATTGAAATCTTGATGGTGACAATAGGTAAGTTTCAAGTTAGTTTCATTCCAGTTTTCAAAAATGTTGTTCAATCTTGTCATTATGAGTTAGTCGGATTATCATATGCACTATTTATCTGTATGCTAATTAATTTGTTCTAGTCATAAAATAGTATTGTACTATTGTTTTACTAGGGTTTTCATGTTGGCGAAACATGCTTCTTGATATCGTCATGACATCACTAATAGTCAAAAGAGTACGACCATTTTGCCACTGAATTTCTTTTACTACATACAAGTTAAGGAGAAAACGAAATAATTAGAACGAATTGGCATTAGCATGAATATTGATAAAAGATGTCAATTTGGGTATTTAGGTCAGATTTGGGTCAGGTCAAATCAAGTCGCATATTAAACTTAGATAATGTTAATCTAGTCTCCAAATTGCATTCAAGATCGAATCAAGTCAAGTCTGATTCAAGTTATTTACTCTTATCGATTGATGCAAGGCAAGTTCGATTAAAGTCAAATTCAAGTAAGATTTAATTTTGAGTTTAGAATAGTTGTATATAGTCAAGTTTAGGGTTATTCGGGGTCGGGTGATCTTCAGACTAAGTCGTGTCTTTCTTGTTTTTGGGTCTAGTTTAAGTCAATTTAATATTAATTTTTTGGTTGAATCGAGTTGGGTAAAATATAGCTTGAGTCGGATTAACGATGATGAGTCTAATAAAATCGAGTAATGGGTCACCATGGGTTAGGTCAATAACATGTTGGGTTGAGTTATAATCAGTTTCGAGTTTCAATTGGGTAAGGTGTTAGTTTGGGTTTGGATCTTTGTCGAATAGAGTTAAATCAATTTTTCGTTATATCAGGACGGTCAGACGAATGCAAGTTCAGGGGCGATCCATTGCCACAATATAATTAAATTATGATAGCTCTAAATAACGTCATATGATATCCTCCCATATTTTTTTTTCCGACAAGAAGATCTAACAAGGAATATAAAGTATAAAAAACAACAAAGAAATATTATATGCAATCACAACATATTAAAGAAAATGATGAACGCGAATAGTTAACCAATGAGCAAAGACTATCCAAGCACGCGAAACGACACCCCCTCCCATAATTTGGTTACCACCTACACGACTGGGCACGTAGCTAGCATGAGCATGAGTGCATGACTATTAAAATAGACCGTTGATGAAATGACACAAATGACAAATCAATTACAAGTTGAAATGTTGAATAACGTACACTTGACAAAAAACAAAAGGAAAATAGCCGTAATAAGTAACGAAAGGATGTTGTAGATATAGTAATGAGATTTATCACCAAAACGCGGTGATCTGCTGTTATCCAAGACACTTTCTTTCTCTTTCTCCTTCGTATCTGTAAATTCATTGTACTCCATTTTCTCTCTCCTCCATTTTTAGCCTTTCTCTTTCTTTCGCCATTGTCAACTTCTCCGTGATTCAGGTATCTTCTCTCTCCCCTTTCTCTCTCTCTCTTATTCTCTGCATTCTTCCAATTTTTTCCCCAATTTTAATTTTTTTCTTCCAATTTATTTTCCTGTATTTTGGAATCCTCCGATCCGCTGGTTTTTCTTCAGCGTGATCTTGGATTTCCTTAAACCCCCCCCCCCATTTTTCGATTCAATTCAATTTTTTTTATAATGTTGGTGATGTGATTGCATTTAATTCTTTTTTGGGGTTGAATTGATTGATTTATCACTATTTGGGGTAAATTTTAGGGATTTGGATAATCAGATTAATTGTATAAATGGGAGAGCATTTGGTGTTGTATGTGGACCGCTTGGTGAATCCTACAGAGGCGGAGGGGGCGTCGACATCAGCGGCGTCGTCTTCGTCGAATTCGGGGTTGGAGGAGAAAATTGAGGAGAGGGTTGACGATGATTCAGCTGGAGGGGAAGATGAACCCCTAATTCAGCTCGCCGAATGTCGTATTTGCCAGGAAGAAGATTGCATTGCTAGCTTGGAAGTTCCCTGTCGTTGTAGTGGCAGCTTGAAGGTATTCTATTCCATCATGAACTTTTTTCTTTCAGCCCCCCTTTTCCTGTATACATTATAAAGATTATAAACTAACCGTAATTCACCATTTGCGACGAATGTTGTTATAGCTTGATTGACGTTGATTGATTGGGCGAAGCTTGGTTTTTGCAATTAACTTTTGGGGTTCTGTAGAGTTTTTATGAGTATTGGTGGCCAACATTCAATTTTGGGTTTGTCATTGGTAATTTGTAATATGGTTTGACATGATTCTGATGTGTTTGAATGGCTAATCCTGATCATGCAAATAATTAGAAGTTGACAAATTCGCTAAAAAGAATAAAATTTTAGGGAATTTTGAGAATACTAATTGGTATTCAATGTTTTTAATTATGTTGGTGGGTAATAGATTATCGATAATTATGTTTTACGGTTTAGTTATGCTGCTTTAGGGGAATTCCGGAATTAGGAGGCGCCCTTGATTCTAAGCACGTTAGCAACATCAGGAACACAAAACTATATTGAAGTCAAATCATTTAAGATAAACACCTTTTATTTTGCATAGTAATTCACATAAAGCTTTAACAAGTTTGGTCAAACCTTTTTTGTTATTAACTACCATCAACAAACTAAGGAAGTGAAATTTTATTATTTATTTCTTAATCTCATGACTCTAATCCAATGTGAGCGATTATACTTGCTTGGAGAGACACTTGGTATCAGACTATAAGCCATTGGTTGGTGACCTTACAGTATACTTCTTACTCCGGAATAAACATTGATTAAACGTTTGGAAACTAGCGCAGTAGCTATGTTACATTATCATGTTGATTTGAACATAAAATTACACCCCCAAATATGTACAACATAACATCTATACTACGGAGTACTAACTGTGGTTTTATAACAAATATAGCATAAAGTTACAAAAAAATCAAGACCCAATAAGATTTGGTCTATTAGCCAAGATTGTTTGTTACCATATCACGCTTGCCCCATGTATCGGTATCATTAATGATTGTATATTGTTTGAATAGGCTGCGTTTTTTCCCACTGTTTTGTAAGTATCATTTGTTTGGTTGCGTGAATGCAAAAGATGGTCATTAACAAATATTACATGTAACAAAAGGGGGAAAAAAGAAAAAAACACCCTCCAGAGATGTAAGTTTTGTAAAGCCTTATGCAGGATGTTTTTAATTTTTGTACTTTTCTTCAGTGGCAGATGCTTGCTGTGTATTAGGTTGTTGTGTTATTCTTATATATGTGATATGTTATATTGGTTAAGGTATGCCAGGATATGTAATTAGATACTGTAATAAAGTGTTAAGAGCTAGTCACAAGGAGGAGATATGTGGAAGTAGACTGATGACAGATACTTAATGTTTTGATATCCTTCATGATTGTGGGATACATTTTTGAATGAGGTTGTATGAAAGAAGTAGAATCTATGTAGAGAAGCAAGCTGGACATGCTTGCTGGTTGTATCAGTAGTCTTAATTGATTACTTGCCTGAAAAAAAAAAAAAATAGTATTATTGTGTTGATGCCAGTCAATGACAGATTACTACTCTGGCTTGAAACTACAGTATTTCATTGAAGGTGTATAAATTATTATTTGTATGTCTCTTTGTTCTGCTATCAGATATTAAGATTTGGATATTAGTGTTGTTGACTTGTTAGCTCATCTTTAAGCAGCTCTCAGTTCTCAGTTTCTTATATTCTTACACTACACAGAATTGACCTTTCCTGGTTTCTTATGTACAGTATGCACATAGAAAATGTGTTCAGCGCTGGTGCAATGAGAAAGGGGACATAACATGTGAGATATGCCACCAGGTATGCTAAAAGTATTCTTTATACATTTCATCTGACAGATGGCTGTGAATTGGAGTATTCCGTAAGTCATGCTGATTGTTTTGGCTGTGGTAATTGCTCCAATAACCTTTAACCTTAAGAGTAAAAGTACAGAGTACTATGTTTAGGAGATCTTTTGGATTAAGTAATAATCAATATGTCAAGATTTTGCATAGCCCCTTTTAATTGTCAAGTGCGATTTCTTGAATGTGTTTTTAGGTCGTCCATGTCAGTTATAGGATTTTGATTTTCAATTTGTGGTTTGCTTTTGTGGTGTATGTTTATTGACTGTTTGTTTCTTGAGAATAGTCTCAACATTTGAATTATCAGGTTATACTGAAATAAGATTATAAAGTTAAATTTCTTACAAGGGTCTAAACTACATGAGGTGTGTAGAGCTCACTGGAATTTGCTATTTGTTGTGGTCCATAGATTGTCCAGTGGTTCACTATGTGACTGAGTGTATGCTTCAAAGCACATATTCAAGGTTCTGATAGCTTTTGGAAAATAAAAGAATGTTTACTAGCTGAGACAGAGTGGCATTTTACAATATCTAACTTCTGGGAAAAGGCTATTTGATTATTAAAGTACTTTATGAAGAATTGGTCTCACTTTTCCTTTTTGTCCTGTGCCATTATGTATAGCTTCCATCTCTTTTGTAATCTTTCATGCCTTCCCCCTTCTCTCATTTCAAACTCTGCCATATGAAGTACAAAGCTTGTTTTAAGACGAAGGAGAATTTGTTTGAAGGTTTTTGCTTGTGAGGTATGAAATATGGGAACTTTCTCCCATTTTGTTAATATTTTAGAGCTGGGACTGAGCAGCCAAGCACTGATGTCAGGTCCCTTAAACTGCTTAATCAAAGTTGCACTGGTTTCCTCCATAGTACTTGAGAAGTTGCTATACCCCATGTTTTCCATGAAGGAAGCTGCAAATACAGACTGGGGGTAATTCAAAGGGTTAGCATGTTAAATCTTGGGACCTGATAGAAGCCAAATTTCTTAATCACCTCCTACATCTGATACCCTACTATCTTTGTGCTACTCATGTTAGTTTTTGTTATTGAATAGGCCATTGTCTGTCACTCTCTTTTTTCTTTTAATGTTTTAGCTGAGACTCTGATCAACTGATGTATCTGTGATCACTAGTTAACTGCTTTCTGTCTGTATGAATGTATTTATTTGTTTATGTTATTATTCTGATGATGGATTTCTGCACAATTTCAGCCTTACCAACCCAATTACACTGCTCCACCACCACCACCCCATCCTGAAGACACTGCAATTGATATTGGGTATGTAGTTTTTCTTGAGCAATTCTTGTTGTGGCTCCCACTCTATTGAGTAGAGCAGTACAATATTCATATGTCCATCGACTACATCATTTTTTATATTTCATAATTCATACCAAACTCTTTTATTTATTTATTTATTTCCTATGTACCATCTAATGCTGCTTGGTAATTGTCATTTGCAGTGGAGGCTGGACAATATCTGGCACTCCTTTGGATTTGCATGATCCTCGTCTTCTGGCAATTGCTGAGGCAGAGCGACAGTTTCTGGAAGCTGAGTATGATGACTATGCTGCTACTAGTGCTAGTGGAGCTGCATTTTGTCGTTCAGCTGCGCTCATTGTAAGCTTCAAAAGCCAATGTGTGAAAAATCTGAAATAGAGCTATCAGATATAGAAATATATGCAGACTCCATAAACAATATCTATACTTGTCATCTGTGTCTATAACAAAAATGCTAAAACGTGGCATTATGCACATTTTTAAGGTTTCTTGTCAGCAGTTTAAAACTGAACATGCTCACAACATGCTGACTCTTATTTTTTCTGGCAGCTGATGGCTCTTCTGCTCTTAAGGCATGCTTGGAGTTCACCAGATGCTGATAGTGAAGATGATATGTCAGCCTTTTTCTCGGTGAGTAAGATGTAGATTGGATACTATTTTCTGTCCATAATTATTACTTAGCTGCGCAAAGTCTTGTAATACTTTGTGTTCACTGTTTTCCTTTGCAGCTTTTCTTGCTTAGGGCTGCTGGATTTCTTTTGCCTTGTTACATTATGGCGTGGGCCATCAGTATCTTGCAGCGTAGAAGACAACAACAGGTAGGCAGACAATAAGGTTCCCTTTCTCTTTATTCAATACGCTCTCCGTCCCTTAAAGAGTGCTCCGTTCCCATTTTAGTTACCTTGTCTCCACGACCTATGTTACTCAGACTCTTCATTTCACCTCACGTACCCGTGTCGGACCCTCGATACTCGGACATGGGTATGACACCCAGACACTTCACTTTTAGTACAAAATCATGGAATTTTTTCACAAAATAGCCGAGTCGGACACTTGGACATGTACCCAGACACGGGTACCCGAGTCCAAGTAACATAGTCCACGACAGTGTTTGAAAAAGCGCGCCTAGGTGCTGAGGCGCAAGGCGATATCGGGTAGGCGCTTAACTTAATCTCAGCGAGGTGTTTTTGGTTAGGCGCAGGTTAGGCGCACCAAAAGCGCACCAGGCTCACCTGAAGCAAATTTCTGCCAATTTTTTTAACTGTTTATATAATGCGCCTTACTTCAAAGAGGCGCACCTAGGCGCTGCATAACCCTTCTCTTCAGCACGCCTTGAGCTTTTTTATACATTGCTCCACAATTCCTCTCCGCTATTCTCACTACCCCACACTAAAATTCAAATCTACCTACCCACTCAATACAACCCTTTATACAGTGAACATTGGGATGGGGATATCTTTAAGGGACAAAGGAAGTACTAATTAATCATTTTTATCTTTTGGTTCAAGGCTTATATGAGATTACATCCCTCTTTGTTTTGGTGGTTAATATTTTTGGTTGGATGGTCTTGTACTCTTGTATAGTTGTATCCTTGATTTGGTGTTTAGTTCTAGAATAAGGCCCATTGGTTCTGAATTCCCTGTAGTGCAACTGCTTACAAGTGGAACTACATATGCAATTTATTTTAAAGATAGTATTAATTGATTTGTCTACTTTATTGTAAAAAAAAAAAAAAAAAAAAAAAAAAAAGGCATGACACGGCACAAAACTGTGCCTGTCGGGCCTGGTCCACTTTGTTTTTTGGAAAAGCACAAGGAAAGACACAATACGACCTGATATGACAAAGCCCGCTAACATAAGTGAAATTTGGCTTAGGTTATGTAGGCCTTAGTTATGCCTAGTCCGTCCTTTTGAAAATTTCGGGTCAGCAGATAGCTAGTGGGATGGCCGAGCTAGCCAGACTCAAGACATGTAGGCTTGGCCAAAGGCACGACACAAACTCTTTCCTAAATAGCATTAAAAAAACTAACTTATCTTGCTTACAAGCCATATTGACAATTTGACATCCAAGGTAGACATGATTTCATATCTTTATATGAGCAAGATATACTTATTAGTTATCAACTACAAAGCCTGTTTTATTGTTTCATATATAGTGACTGGCAGCATAGTAAATGAGCTGTAATTATTACTTTGGTTTGCTTGACCAGAAAAGTTTTTTTGTATTCAGGAAGCTGCAGCGTTGGCAGCAACTCAAGTTGCTTTTGTGCTCCAATCAGGGCAACACAGGGGCTTGCAGTTTATGATAGCTCCACGTTCTCCTTCAGCTGTGGCTCAAGAAGCTGTTTAGTGCTCTGTTAATAGCAACACCTGCCATCCGTGGGGGAAAATGGTGACTACATCACCCCTATTCAAGTCATGTTCTATTTGTTTTTAATTGTTATTACTCTAACCTAAATTTCACCATCGTCTGTGATTATCTGTTAGTCTTAAGAGTCCAGAAGCCGTCTATTCTTTGCAAGCATTTGTGTTCATCGGCTTGATGCTGTCTATAAGGTCTTATCTTGAGTTGGTAAAAAAATCGTGGGCATTTCCCAGTTTAGTCCTTGGCTTTCTCCAGGCAAATATATGTAATTTAGGAATATGTAGAATTGCACCAGAAACCATTTTTTTTTATCCTTTTTTAAACCAAAGTGTCTGTAATCTAACTACTACGGTGGCTGCAAATTCTGGTAATTTTCCGAAATGTTTAGGACTCAGTAGCTTGAAAAATAATAGAGCTGTGCTACATATTGATGAAATAGGTTATAACTCTGTACTTTGTTCAGATTGTACACATAAATCTCACTATAGTACAATCCTCAAAACTGAATTGTTTAATATTTTTGGTTTAGGGGTAGTGTTTCCAAGATTAATCCAATTATGCTAATAAAAAGTTAAAGCAGGTAAAGAATATATTCTAAATGATTGTGGTGGATATTAACCTTTGTAAAAGCCGTGAATCAGGTTCATTTCATCTCGATTAACTTACTAATCTAATCCGCTGTGAATCAGGTTCATTTCATCATGATTAACTTACTAATCTAATCCTTTGAGGACATCGTTACAGCTAAACTGCGCAATTTATTTTCATATGTAACAAAAGCAACTTCTTAACATTATACACTGATTCATTTGTTAATATATGGTTTTTATGCAACAAATTTACCATGAAGTTAATGATTATGAGAGTCCATCCTGTCATCAAAGGCGGCTGGCAAACGAAGCTCTTTACATTCAAACTAAAGTAGCAAAAAAACTAACCTTTAAGACCAATCTTGAGAATCAAAAAAGATAAAGACAGTCCAAAATTTATAATTTCCTTAACCCAAAATTTTCATTTTTGATGAAGTACAGAGATTGATGGATGGGTAACTCTTATCCCAAGAACACAGAAACTTTAATTAAAGCAAAAAGGGTATCTAATAAGTACTTAATGCAACCCTTAAAATAGTACTAAATGCCCGTACAAAAATCTCATAAACACCACCCATTTTAAGTATCTGTTCAATGGGAATAACCAAGGAAAATTGCTTAACTGTGACTATTGTGAGGTTATCTATCCAAATTAGAGCAAATCTCGTCTAATGAAATTAGGTAATTTTTTGCATTTCTCACGGCCATAGTCAAAACCTGAAATTAGTCTAACAAGACGGGTGAAACTTGAGATTATTAGCATCAATTTTTTCAAAACAAAATTGAAAATAAAGTTGGCATTATTTACGGCCAATTCAATATATCAATCTAGGCACAATGCACAAGTTCTTTTGAAAAGTTTGACATAAGAATTTCTCGTATTTATGCAAAAATTATGGGTTGAAATTGAGGTGATCGTTCAATGCTTGGGTAACAAACAGTTACCTTAGTTACAAGAGGACCACCAACCAGAATGATAGAAGCATGTTTAAGTGCTCCAAGCTTTTAAAAGTTTGTGCTGAAGATTACATGAAATAATCAATGTAACAAAGCATCCCATCCAATGGCCCTCTTTATTTTCACTTTGATTTGGTAGATAAAGAAAAGCAGAGAATCAGCACATCATAACTACATCTCAGCAAGAGTTTATGACCAGTCTCCCTTTAATTTTACGGCACAATAGAATATAATCACCTCATTTTCATAAAGCATCACAACTTGTACTTTAGAATGTTTTTAAATTAGATGTCATTTACTAGTAATTAGGATTTCGGCATTGATATATGCAACCCTAAGAGCGAGCTACCTTTAGTGCTTGTATTACTTTAGGATTCTTTAATAAACCGTGCATTGATCGTGGTTATAAATGTTAGACTAATACTTAATAGTGTATTCCAGTTATAGATTCTTGTAGTTAGAACTTGCTCCTTAGGGCTGCGTATATCATTTTCTTCAACAATTTGAACTGATAAATAGGATTTTAAAAGATAAAGTTGGTCTACAATCTAAATGGATGATAATTGGAAATCAATATAAATGAAAAAAGAGCGGGAAGTGGGTCTGTCAAACATAAGATGAAGAATGTAGGATTTGGAAACAGAAAGAAAGAAGAAGAAAAGCATAAAAGAAACACATTTAGCACAAGAAACCATAATATTTGGTGCACAGAGAAAAGAGCTTGGAATTCTAAAGTGACAAGAAGCAGATCTTAGTGGCATAAAGCAGCAGTTTGGTGTTTTTTAGGGGGGGGGGGGGGGGGGGGGGGGGGGGGGGGGGGGGGGGGCTGTTACATTCCCCCAATCTTTTCCCTTCCATTTCATGCTTTATATGCCAGACTACTGTACCAGTTTAGTTATATTGCTGGGTGGCTCATGGCATGTCCCTCACTCACTTAACTTATATATTTCCTTTTCTTACAACAAAGAAATCACAAAGTGACCTAAGTAACCCTCTCCAAGCCGTTCAAGGCGCGGCTCCCTCTATCTGGAATTAATAATCACACGTTACATCATCCTAACCCTTCATAATTCATGGTTTACTATGATTTCACTAAAATACACTCTACATAGGTCTCCTTTCCATCTTCTCCTTACAACTTCACAGGGGTGCAGATTTGTTTGGAAACCAATTGCAACAAATTTCTATTTAAGATAAATGACAGTTTTTCCGGACATCCAAAATTAGTACTATATGACACTACTGTTTATAGATGACGTAGTTTAGTTACGATTTAACGATAATTCAGGCTAAGAATGGCCAATAACTAAAAATAATCCATCAGTCTCAAATTCAAATAACGAGTAAGCATGGCCAGGTGAAATGGCAACAAGGCAGGGGGGGACACCAAGAGAACTTTATGTCTGGTCACCAAGACAAAAAAAGCTAAGCAAATGATAGGGATGTAGGATACAAATGAAAAAGATACTTGGCTTCCCTAGGGTATTGTTCCAACCCCCTTTATTCATCCTATTTAGATTCTTCCATAACAGCCTTAAATTTGCATATCTCACACTAGTCTAAATTTAGGGTCAATCTAAAACTTCTTCTGCCAGTTTTGGGTCCCTCTGCTTTATGCTTTAAAGCACTCTCTAAATCTTATAACAGATATATTACACTCCTGTTTCTACAGGAATGGTGTCACAACAATAGAAGGATTACATACAATCTCAGACTTTGCTCATTCTCTCATTACTCTCTAGAGAAATACTAGGATTCTTCCCGATCTCAGTTCTTTTCCAGTGTTAGTAGAGCAATATGAACCTAAGTGCTAATAAAACATTCATTCTTCTATTGTGTATTAGTTTATTAGCATTAAAACCAGAGAGAGGCTGTAGTCTAAGGCGGGCAGAAATGATCCTGGCTCCGAACAAAGGAGATTTACAGCATGCGCCAAGCAATCGAGTCCTGCAGGGAGTCTCAAGGCAGGAACTCAATGCTAGCAGAAGATCAACTCCAAAAAACAAGAAATATGATCCAACTCAGTCAAGTGAACGGAGGGTTCGAAGAGGATCTGATCCCATCCACAATAGGGCTTAGAAGGGAGGAGCTGAGCAAGTTCAAAGAGACAGACAAAGCAAGATGAAGCAAACCAGAGATAAGTTAAAGGTCTGTGGTGAGTGATTAACACTTCAAGGGATTCTATGCGGCTTGATTGTTGAATTTTTGGTCTTTTTGGAGGTTCTGTCAGCAAAATATGTACAGTTGTAGCAAGTGAAACACAAACCAGAGAGCAGACGGCGGCAATGCATGAAGTGAGCAAATGATATCTCTTGTTTTGCAGTTGATATCTTATTAAAAAAAACAAGGAGTACAGCTATTATGATGTTATCGGCTCTCACAAAGGACAATATATAGTGCTTTTTTATACATCTTGATTCTTTTTTGTTGGAAGTTTAGTTTTGTTTGCATCAGGAAGCTTCTCAAGGTTTAAATTTGATTCTTTCTTTTGGTGTTCCGGCAATCTAATCAATGCCATTTGTTTCTTAAATTCTCTGATCGAAAGACAACTTGTTTGTGATCATCAGTGTCAAAGACATTTGCATAGTCCTGACTGTCAATACGTCAGGTTAAATTTTTTCCTAATTTCTTCTCCAATTCCTAATTCTCAAATCAGATTTCCCACGATCATGTTCTTAATGATCGAGAGAGGGATTGGGGGGGAGTGGAGGTAAGAAATATTAAAATTTCCATCCTTTCTATGAAGAATCGGTGCAAGAAATTGGACCAGGAAAAGATGCTAACATGAGAGGACCAGCAGAGCTCTTCAACAAGCTTTGCATCTTTTCTGGACATATGCACAGCCAAATGGTTGAAGCATCTTTGATGGTTCCAGTAAAATTGACACCTATCCTCAAGAGAGCATCTAACTCCTAACTTCTCAATCAGCCCATTCTATTTTTTAGTAGTTGGAATAATACGTCATATCAACTGTCATTATTTCATCCCATTAACCCTGATTAAGATAAATTGGTGCATGTTTCAGTAAGATTTTCAATTTAGTTCCATAGTAAATTTGATGCCTTAGGGGAATACACGAATATATCAATTCTGTATAAAGGACAAACCTTTAAACAGATGCAAAGCTTCACACAATAGTTTCATTCGACAACAAGCATTGTAAGCGGGTGTATAGTATAGGCAAGGATATCAGTATTGATCACGTACGAGCTCTTTCTATTAGGATGTCTACACTCTACACAGCATAGTGTGTTCGAAGACAGGGTTTTGGGTGTATAAAAGATATCTGCACAAGTTCCAACGTCTAGGAAAGCATCAGTAAACTGACTCAGTAATGATTAGATGACGCGACTAGAAGAAGTAGGAATTAGGAAACTGGGAAAGTATAAGATAATCCTTTACCAATCCCAAAGCATATCTATAGAAAGTAGATATTGAATTGGGGCAGGATATAGACAGAGGAGCTATAGGTAATAGAAAAAGGCTTGGAGAAGCCTTGCACCATCAAATATAATGAAATTGGCTAAAACTATCATTTTCACAAAACAGGGTTATGTTCCTAGAAAAAGTCAGCAAGAAGGTTACTACTTACTAGGGTCCTTACTCTTTGGAATGGGGCACTTACGAATCAAATAATGTATGTTGGAAAGTACTATATAGGAACACAAGCAGAGGACTTTTCTGTGAACTTGTGAATGGGTCAGCAAAATTTGAGATTGGACTATTGGAGCTACGTAAAATGTGACTCGTCCTTTACGTACAACACCTAATAAAGCTTCCTAGGCATTTCTCTTCATGATACTAAACTTGTTTAACTTTTAATAAACAGAATTCTAATGTTCTCACCTCCAGGCATACTGAACATTAAAAGTTTTATCTTTCGCCTATCTGTGCTGTCATTGATTTACATAAATGAGAAGCAAGTGAGAAAGATAAAAGCAAAAACTGTGAAGCTCACTAATTCACTCATACACCCTTAAT